ATTTTTGCGTTTTTCTAAGGTACATAAACTTTTGGAATTGACTGCATAGCCAGTACATCCTTAATTGTCGATCAATTCGATAATGAATCGCGGTGTTTCCAGCAACGACCCTCTGCGTTCGACTGTCGGAGGATTAAATGGTTAAGAGGGTAGGCAGAAGGATTGCATTGTAGGTTATTCGAACCGATGGACCGCGTGATGGAAGCATCTCGATTAGCGTGTTAACTTAATCCTCCCCTCGTCTCTTCGAGATTTATATATGCATTCGTTCCCAACCATTTTCATCAAATATCTAATTCATGCGAGGAATCTCACGGCAATTCTTGAACTTTAGCTGGAACGTGGCCTGACGATTTGCATACTGCTGTAAAAATGAACGGATTAATTCGTAAGCGGAGGGTGGAATCATCCCCGATTCCTGTCTCAATTGTCTCCGGCGTGCTACAGCCCCCGCTAAATAGAAATCCCCGTAGCTTGTCCGTGGAGAGGTTTCCGTGAATTCGGTTAGAATTCGGATGAGGAAACTGGATGCTTCCCGAGGCGTGAAATGGCTGCGTTAACCGCTTGCACGAGCTGAAACCCCGAGGCTTGAGAGCGCAACGAAAGGGGCGGACGCCTCTATTTATTAACTATAAATTGAGCAGAGCGTTATCCCTTTTGAAATTCACGCGAGAAGTACTCTATCCGAATGAAACGAGGGATTTGCCACCCCTCGAAAACGCCACCCCCTGCGATCTCTCCGTCACTCTCTCTCTCTACCTTCGCGAGGCTTCTTTGTTTTCCGAGTTCGGGTCGCACGGTGTGGTTCGAACCGCGCGGATAAGCAATATCATCGTCCAGATCTCAGCGAGACGGTATAAGACGAGAGAGTTATGCGTGCCGCTATGCGCGAGGGAATCGTAGATCACCGTGCTGGCACGTCTGCAGGGACGTGGAAGAGCGAACGTGAACGAACCCACCGCCATCATCCCGTACCAACCCCCTTTCTCGTTCTTCTCTCGGCACCCCACCTTTCTTCCAAACCAACCCCCGCTGCTCCGCTGTTCTCTCGCTCTCTCTCTTTTTTATCACACTATTTCACGGTGTTCGTCTCTCTTTTCGTATCTCGCTATCTCGGAGAGCCAGCCACGGGTTCTCTCTTCCTTCCGCCGTCTTCGTACACGCCTCTACACACGCTTTTCTTTCGTGCACGTACGCGTGACTAGCCGAACCCATATAATGTACATCATCGATATACCTACGTAAAATGCCAAAGCGAGCAGAATAAGGCGCGTACCGATCTAAGTGAACACAATACTGGGTGTGGCATCCGGAACTGTAATATATACATATTCTAAAATTGATTGAGCCAAAAAAAATATAATTGGCAACGGAATATAGGAGTCTGAGTCGGGAAGATGTGCTCGTTTTTGTGTCGAGTGTCAACGTTTCGTTTTTCCGTTATTGCGACGACGCGACGGGACGATATTACTTTCCGAAGGAGTCGTTCGAGAGAGCAGGTCGTAGATCCCGCGAAAAGAGGAGAAAGGTTCGTTTATCCTGCATAGTTAATAAGCTTAGGTAATTGGCCACGGATAAGGGCTGTAACGAGAATTAAGACCAGCGAACGAGGTGGTTCCGTCTCGTTGGTCGGTGCCGGTGGTGGTGGAGGTTCACTATCCTATTTTTTCGCCGAGCGCTACGTGAATTAAGTCCCTTCGCTATCTTCAGTCCTCGCGTAAATTACACCAGGCTCCATGGAGAGAAATGGCCGCCTCTTCTTTTCCCCACTCCACACGTACACACACACACTCTCTCTCTGTATATATATACATGCACCGTCTCTCTCTACCTCTCCATTTTATTTACATATAGATACGAAAGCCATTGACTCACCGGGGAAAAGTGCTCCCCTTTTTATAGGTTTGCTCATTCGGCATCGATAAAATTTGCCTAGAATTATCACCGCAATTTCTTGCGTCGCACCTCGTTCATCTTCTGATTTCCAATTTTACGAAAAACTGTGTACAGTAATTCTGCATTTTTATCTTCTGTCAAGGAATTTGTATATACGAGCCGAAGACCGTTGACGAGCTTTTCAGAATTTGTGACGCCGCCACGCGACGCGACGTATCGTTCGTTTCGTAGCAATTTCGTGCGTTCTGTAATTTCGCGCGGGATGGTCCCGATGCTTCGAAGGGGTTGCGCATAACTCGAAACATATTATGAACACATGCATAAATATCCCTTGGCGTTATCAGTTGTCGGACGCCGGCGCGCCGGATATTGTCGCATCCTCCGTTTTGCTCTCCCTATTGCACCGCCGCGCCGCCCCGAGCCAGACAGAGACAAAACCCGGCCCAGAACAAAACCCGGGAAAATCGGGATACGGAAAACCGGAGAAATAACATCTTTGATGTTCCGCAACGGGGTTTGCTATCGGAAATTGTTTAGGAATAAACGAATTGCTTTTCACTCGCATCCTCCGTATCGCGTTTACATCGCGAAAGCGTGAAAAAAAAAAGATGTTTTCGTATTCTAAGGAGCGGAGAAAGTTTTCCCAAACATCCGTCACGCGATTTACTGTTAAAGAACAAGGGTTCGCTTTCTCTTTTTCCTGTGTCGAGAAATGTTTTATGTTGTCACGCGGGCCACGGCAAAAAGGCCCGCTTTTACTTTTTTTTCCCTGCCCTCTGCAATTTCGTG